AGTCACTCGCAGACTTTCAGGAATTTTGGTGTCAATGCAGAAAATGATATTTCTGATTGATTGGGACCTTTCTGAATCCATTTTTTGGTCTACGACTGATTCTGAGGCACTCACAGACTTTCAGGAATTTTAGATGTCAAGGCAGATAATGACATTATCTACTTCTAGGGACCATCCAGGATCCATTTTTATGGTCTGCGACTTAATCTTTGACAGTCACAGACTTTCAGGAATTGTTGGTGCCAATAGAGATAATTACAATTTATGACATTCTTGACCATCCAGAGTCTATTTCGTTGGTCTGCGACTGATTATTGGGCACTTGCAGACTTTCAGGAATTTTTGGTGCTAATGCAGATAATGACATTTTAGGGTAAAAATGCTCTGCTTATGACTAAGGGGTCCTTAAAAGTAAAAAAGTCATGATCTGCAATGGCACTAAACATCCTTAAAGTCTGCGAGTCTCAAGGAATCAGTCGCAGACCCAAGAAATGTACTCTGGTGGTTCCCTTAAAGTCAGAAATGTCATTATCTCCATTGGCATCAAAATTCCTGAACGTCTGCAAGTGTCCCAAAATCAGTCGCAGACCAGCGAAATGAACTCTGGTGGGTCGCTAGAAGTCAAAAATGTCATTATCTCCATTGGCACCAGAGATTCCTGAAAGTCTGCGAATGTTCCAGAATCAGTCGCAGACCATAAAAATGGACACTGGCAGGTCCCTAGAAGTAAAAATTTCCATCATCTCTATTGGCACCAAACTTTCCTGAAAGTCTGCGAGTGTCCAACAATACGCTGCAGGCCAATGAAATGGACTCTTAAAGGTCCCTAGAAGTCAAAAATATGATTATTTCCATTTGCACCAACCATTCCTGAAAGTCTGCGAGTGTCCAAGAATCAGTCGCAGACGACCAAAATGGACTCTTGAGGGTCCCTAGAAGTCTAAATTGTCAATATCAGCATTGGCACCAAAATTCCTGAAAGTCTGCGAGTGTCCTTCAAAAAGTCGCAGGACACTGAAAGTCCTTAGAAGTCATTATTTCTTATTGGCACCGAAAATTCCTGAAAGTCTGCGAGTGCCTCAGAATTGCCTAGAAGTCGAAAATGTCAATAAAACTTTGGCAACAATAAATCCTGGAACTCAGAATCAGTCTGCCAACTGAGCATTTCACCAGAGCATTTTTTAACTATATTTCGGAAAGCCCTGTTAGATTGCCTAGCCAGCTTAGCATTCCACCAGAGCATTTTTACACTATATTTAGTAATGCCCTGCTAGATTGCCTAGCCAGCTGCGCATTCCACCAGAGCATTTTTTTCACTATATTAAGGAATGCTCTGCTATAGTGGCCTAGCCAGCTGAGCATTCCAGCAGAGCATTTTACACTATATCTAGTAATGCTCTGCTAGATTGCCTAGCCAGCTGAGCATTCCACCAGAGCATTTTTTCACTATATTAAGGAATGCTCTGCTATAGTGCCTAGCCAGCTGAGCATTCCTGCAGAGCATTTTAACACTTTATTTAGTAAAGCCCTGCTAGATTGCCTAGCCAGCTAAGCATTCCAGCAGAGCATTTTTACACTATATTTAGTAATGTCCTGCTAGATTGCCTAGCCAGCTTAACATTCCAGAATAGCATTTGTACACTATATTTAGTAATGTCCTGCTAGATTACCTAGCCAGCTTAGCATTCCAGCAGAGCATTTTTACACTGTATTTAGTAATGCCCTGCTAGATTGCCCAGCCAGCTTAGCATTCCAGAAAAGCATTTGTTCACTATATTTAGTAATGCTCTGCTAGATTGCCTAGCCAGCTTAGCATTCCAGCAGAGCATTTTCTCACTATATTTAGTAATGCCCTGCTAGATTGCCTAACCAGCTTAGCTAGCCAGCTGAGCATCCCAGCAGAGCATTTTAACACTATATTTAGTAATGCACTCCTAGATTGCCTAGCCAGCTGAGCGTTCCAGCAGAGCATTTTTTCACTAAAGGTAGGAATGCTCTGCTATACTGCCATGACAGCTGAGTATTGCAGCAGAGCATTTTTACACTATATTTAGGAATGCCCTGCTAGATGCCCAAAACAGCTGAGCATTACAGCAGATCATTACCTTCCCTATATAAATTGAAATGCCTTTTTGCTTAGCTCACTGTTCACTGCTAACTTCTCACATACGGTTGATTAGCCATCAGTGCATTATTAAAGGAACGAGCTGACACCACGAGTAGCACCACACACCACACAGAACTTCCGCAATCATCTGTATATGTTCATAGCATGAAAAAATCTAAAGTTCCTTGCGGGATTTAAGTTTCCTAATTTTTTAAGATTTCAATGACAAATGAATGCTGAAACAATAGTTCTCTGTATTTTGTGTGTCTATTGCAATAGAGTTTCATCGTATGACAATTCAAAATGTGCAAAAATATGAGAGAAAAAATGAAATCGATATAAAGGAATGGAACATAAAAAAATGTCAAAAAATAAGCGCAATGTCAACCAAATGGTATTTTATTTACCATACAAAATATTTAATCAATATTACTGTACTAAATTCCAAAATGCACAATAAAGAAAAGGATGATTCAGCTAAATGGCAAATGAGCAAGTTGTATTAATTTGTAACGGGAAACCAAAAACAAATTTTGTATTGCCATTTCTTCGGTCTAAATGGACCTTTAATTGAAATTCTACGACCTATATAACCATTTCCTTTGGAGGATAACAGGTGTCAAATTACACTTAATTGCCCTAATCGAATGTTACATTTAAACAAAGTTAGAAATGGTATGACATTTCAACAACATTGATAATTTGATTTGTTGGTCACACGCAATCCCAATTTAAGTGATTTGATTTAATATGCAAAATTATTGGAAGGGAAAACAATATTGAAGCTTTAGAAATTGAAATAAATGTTTCAAGGCAATTGCCTCGATCAGGACGAAAACATTATTATTGAAGGTTGTGGAAGGGACTTTAAAACCAAGTTCCTACTCATATTTCTTTAAGTTTCACAATTATTTCAATCTTAAGTAATTATAATACAAGTTGATTTAAAAGATTTAAACAATAAGAATGTTTCAGAATTATACTGTGCCAAAATATTTTACTGTAATGGTCGATCTAAAATTTCACGGAAGATCCGATTCAAACTCTCTTTTAATTGCAAATGGTCTTTATAATGATATTGTTAAAGGAAAGTAGGTGTAAATGTGGCACTAGTGCAAACATCTGTCTTGAAAAACATAATATCATTACAATGAACTCGGAACAAAAAAACTTAAACTATTTATAGTTTAGTACCATTACAGTAGCTTATAGCCTGGCGTATGATGAAACTACTTTCTTATAAAAACATAGTTTTATTTGTTTCTTGAATGTGTTATATCTCTGTTATGTCTCATTATTCTAAGGCGTAATATTTCCCACTTCTTATTTATGATAACTTTATAATTGATAAAAAGAAAGTTTATGCAGTAAAAAGCATCATAACCTAGATAAGATAACGCAAGTGCTGTTCGTTAGTAGAATCACTGTCAGGAATCTTTTATCAAGATGGAATATTAACTAACCCTTATCTAACCAAAAAGGATTTTTTCTTTGTGTATTTTTACCTCCATCTCACTTACTGTTCACTCATTACTAAAATAACTATTCATAAGCATTATAACAGCATTATAGTTGAACCATTTTTCACCTGACTACCTTTAAAATGTAAAAAAATAATAGATTGTAATGGATTACGGTGATGTCACTGCCAAATATTAAAAAAACATTTTGGTCGTATCGACATTTAATTATAAGAATTGCAAATATTAAAAAGAAGTCCAATTTAAATTTAAAGGTTTTAATGTCAAATATTTGGTTCTTTAATCTGTAAGCTAACATTTCATTGTTAACATGCATTTCTTATTAAAGTTGCTCAGTTTCTCAAATGCAATTTATGTTCTTTTCTCATAATTATATGTCTTTGATTCCGCCACAAGTGAAAAGCACATTTAATCATTCCAAAAAATAACTTAAAGTATTTATAACAAAATAACTTTATGTGTTCTTCTACGGCTATCTTATACATCCTGTAATATCTGTTACATATCAAGTGTATTTGAACGTTATTTTGCATTTGTTCAAATTAGTTACCAGTGCTTTTTATTCCATTGTGAGTTGAAATGTGATATTTATCAATCTAAAAGTAGCAAATTAGAATTCCTGACAGGATGTCAATTACCATAGCTCTTCTATTTAACTAAGATAGCTTCAAATAAGAATAACCAATAAACGCAATTAACCTTAATTAAATGAGATGAAACATGATTATCATTGTATTTCAGTGGTTTACTTAGAGACTTATCTAAATAGCTAAGTGTGCATGTAATGTTAACATCAAGCGGTTATTTTAGTGAATTTACTCCAGTAGAGAGAAAACTTTAAAGTGCTCTGATACTATTACGGATAAAATGATGTAGTGCAAAATCCAAGTGTACCGTAAGAATATAGTTACAATATAAGTACAAAAGATGCAGAGTTTATGGATTAAAAACGTATACTCTTATATAGTAAATATTGCAAGATTAATATTCAATTCAATCTGACTATATGCTGCAGTTTAAATAGGCTTCACCAATGCAAATGCGTTTTAAAATTGGTAACACGAAAATGTTTTAAACACCGTGATTAAACGTCGATTAAAATGTAATATACGTTTCCCAGGAATATGTTTATAACAGTTTGTCTCTTATTTTAAAATCAATTCTACCAAACATTTACAAGACGATAGGTTTTTAGTTATGTTTTTGTTAAACACATACAAAAACATTTGTATGTAATGCAAACCGAATAAAAAAATGAATGATCTCCTTTATTTATTTCCCGTTAAAAGTCTCTTCTTCAAAAGTCGTTATTGTGTTAAAATACTGTTTTGATTTAAACTAATTTCTCGACATTAATGTACTGCAAAACAATTTGCATTTAAAACATTTTGTAGAATTTAAGAGACCTTTTGTACGGAAGCCCTGGAGGGACATTTATTATTTAAAATTTAGTACTTAAAATTTATTACTTATTACCTATTATCTATAACTTATAACTTATTATTTAAAGATTATGACTTATTATTTACATATTATCTGAACCGCGCTATATTTGGCGGGAGAAACAAGATGTTTTAATTGAGGCGATGACCGAAAAGGATGAAGTTGAGGATCATTTACAGATGGTATGTATGATACATTAATAAGTCAATAATTAAATGTAACTGCACGCTGTTTAGAATAATTTCTACTTTATTGAAACCTTTTTGTGGACGTTAAGTAGGAAACAATTTTTCTTGTTCTCAATTTTGTTGAAAAAAGAAATGTCCCGATTACAGCAGTAGGTACAGGGCCATTTTAGATCTAGTATTCTGACTATCTGCGGCAATTAAACAGCGACCTTTATTTCATATATTATTTGATCTAGGTTGGGGCTAATTTTATAGCAGGGTGGCAGTGTTTTAACCTTATTTAGTATCAGACAAGGTAAAGAATCACCTTTAAAGATAAGAAATAGTTAGTAAAGTATTTTTTATGCTTTGCAGGATCGTACAAAGCAGAAACAGAAGTTACAGCAGCTAGTACAAAGCATAATGGCCACTAAAAAAACTGAAAGGCAATCTCTTTCAAAGGTATGATGGAAAGTAAAATTCTCAGAATTTGTTATTTATGTATTATTTGCAAAAGTTAGTTCATTTGGGAAATGAATATGCTTTTTAAAGAGGTTTAGTGTCACCAATTATTTTAAAATTGTCAAAATTGGCCCCAGCCTGGATGGCCATAGGTTTCCAATATGGAAAAACACTATAGAGACTACTGTTTCAGTCAAAATATCCTGGAAATTGGTGTGAAAGGTTGTGCTGATGATTTCTAGGGCAGTGTCAAATATGGTTACACTAGGTTACTAGAAAAACTAGGTTACACAGCCAATATGGATATACATTTATACACCTTTAATGATAGGTAATAAATCTTAAGTAATAAGTCTTAAGTAATAAATCTTAAGTAATAAATTTTAAGTAATAAGTCTTAAGTAATAAGTCTTAAGTAATAGGTCTTAAGTAATAGGTCTTAAGTAATAAGTCTTAAGTAATAAATTTTAAGTAATAGGTCTTAAGTAATAGGTCTTAAGTAATAGGTCTTAATAAGTCCCCTACCGGTTTAACCGGAGGGGACTTAAGGTTGACCCTCCGTCCGTCTGTCTGTCTGTTAGTCCGTCAGTCCGTCCACAAAACTGGATCCCGCGACAACGCAAAAAATACTAAAAATATTTTTATGAAACTTAATATATGGATAGATGGCAGTATGGAAATTATGCACGTCCTTTCCTTTTGTTCCTATGTTGAAAATTCTGGTTGCTATGGCAACAAATAGCCTGAATTTCAAGATTTCTGATTTAGATTTTTCAGCTTTTTCACCATAAGTTCTTTATTTCTTAAGGTGTTTACTTCAAACTTTAAATATAAGTTTCTTGTCATCATCCACATCATATGCGACAAGGTTTACAACTCTAGCACAAAAATTATCAGTATTACCTCCCTTGAACTTAGAATTTTTATGAAAAATAATGTTGTCTTTTTTAAATAACTTCTTTATTTCCTAATGTATCTACTTCAAACTTCATATAATATTTTATATGTGTCTTATTATCACTCAACATTTTTGAGAAGGTTAAATACTCTAGCATGACTATTTTCAGAATTATGTCCCCCTTGAACTTAGATTTTTTTTCGAGAAATTGGTATTTTTTACTCCAACTTCTTCATTCCTAATAGGATTTACTTTAAAATCCCACATCATAATAATATGACAAGGTTGTATAAATATAATTTACTTACTAAGGCAGGGAAACTTAACACATTACTGTGATATAGACAAACTTAGAACTCAAAAGATTTTAGTTCATTCACTGGTAAAATTGAATGGCCAATGGTCCATCAGAATGTTGCTGGGGTTCTAATCGGTAGGGGACTTATGGATTGCTTGCAATACTATGATAATTGCTTGTTTTGACTAGAATTATGCTCTTTTAAAACTTTAAGTAATAGAATTTATTACTTTACATATTCATTATTTGTTATTAATGATTGGATTGTCTTCTTTCTTAAAACAATAACTCTTAGGAAAAGAGCTTCCAGTATCCGAAACTAAATTTGACATTAATTTATATTTTAGGTCCTTTTGTGAAATATTGCCTGAATTTTGCAATTAATGGCAAAAATATTGTTATAACAATGCTCGATGCCATTATCATATTCCACCTGAACTTGACGTTTGCAAGAAAACAGACTTGATGTTATTGATCACGAAATTGAATTTGCTAAAATTGACCAAAGCATGTCTGTAAAGTGTTTGATATGTTCATGCTTAACACCCATTTAAAAAGTACCTATAGTTTGATCAATCTGAACTTGATCCTGACATTTATATGGCCTTCAACTTTAGAGGTTAATTCTTGAATTTTGCTAAATGTAATGCTGCATTGTTCTTATTTGAATTATTATTTATCATTCTGAGACTAAACAACACTGTTGACAAATTGCACATAATGAATGGTTCATATAGGAATTTGGGCATCAAGGCCAATTCATTGAATTGCGCAAATTGTCAGAACTATGAAAATACTTGACAGATGCTAATCGTAATTGAGTACCTTTGACAAACTGATATGTTAAGCAATTTGAGCAAGACCTTCACCTTCAGATAACATTTACCTTTAAGGTTATTTGTTCAATTCTGCAGGTCTTTGTAACATATACAAATTTGAAAAAAGTCAGAAAAGGTTTATCACCCTCAGTTAATTTTGGTGATGATATTATAATTTCATGCATGATTTTCTTGTTGCATCATTACTTTTCTAAGACATGGAAACTTGGAAAGAATATAGGTCAGGGTCACCACCCAGTTTTGTGACAGCAAATATTGAATTTATTTTGATTTCAACATAATCAATTTGATCAAGATTGGTATTTATGGTTGTCGTTTGCTATATGGACAAACATATATTTACTTTGGTCATGTGATGTATGCAGTCTATTAAGAACTTATATTAAATGATATTAATGAAGATAAAACAAGTAAGACCAAGTAATGATAGCTACAACTATATTATAGTTTTTTTTATGAAGCAGTAATGAACAATTCAATTTAATATAAACATACTGAAAACATGACTTAAAATAACATTTTTAGAATAATTTCTTTGTTCTCCTTTTTGCCATTGTTGCAATTAACCAAGTCTATAATAGATCTATAACTCCTTACAAATAACAATTTAGTAACAACAAATAAAAGTATAAATAAGTAATGATAAATTATATTTACATGGCTTCTTTAATTTATAAACTAAATATTATTCTGTTTTTAGCACACGAGTCCTTATACTAGAAGTGGTCGTGGGCGTGGAAGGAGGTCAGAATACAAGGTGCCCATAGGTTGGCAACATTTTAGCAAAGGGAAATACAGAATTGTTATGCAAAGGAATGGAGGTGGTACACGATATATATACAAGAATTCTGATGAAGAAGTAACAGTAGATGAAATACTCGTAGAAGGGAAAGCATTTTACTTTAAGGATGGCAAAAGCAAGTTTTGTTTATTAGAGGAAATGGCTGTTACCCTTGTGACAGCTTCTGGACAAGAAATTTCAGGCTTCACACACAGAAATGGTCTGCCCTGTTGGTTCACAGAGTATGTTAAAGCTTATGGACTGTACCCATCTCAGTGTCATTTATACTTAAGAACGAAAATCAAATCAGAATCGGATACAGATAAATGTTTAAAAACAAAAGAAGAAAGTCCGTGTTTTCTTGTAAACAACATTAAAGCTGGGTTGCTGGAAATATCATATGAGAAAAAAAACACAATCTGTATATGCTGATACAGGAAGTTCCATTTTCATTAAATCATACAGAACTGCTATGTCTTTGGCAAAAGATGATCTTGAAGAATACAATGTTTTCAATGATGGCTATTCAGTAATTAGTGTACAGAAAGACAATAAAGAATATTTGGTAGACAAGGAAAATGTTTACTATTTCCCACAAGTCAATTTAATCCAAATCAAGTTGTTTGCTTCATTCATGGACCGAATATTATTCATGGGAGTGAAACTGACGACTTGAATCATCTTATTATAGGATGCCTGACAATATTTCATATTATTTTCAATATAACATGCTAAAGTCCTTTTAAATACAAAAAAATCAATTTCAGTATATCAAAAATCTCAGTTGAGTTCCTTTAAGAATTAGCTTTTGAGCTTACAGAAATTATTAATACACACTCATGTTTATATACTATACTCGTTTTGTTAAAAACCTTGTGTGAAATAAAGGTATTATAAATTTCTACAAATATTTATTGTCATTTCTTAAGAGAAATTGTAACTACATTTCATTAAAATATTTATTCCCATTATTGTACTAAATCATCCCTTACGAGTGAAATATAAGAAAAAGCTGAAAGAACTTTCGCCATACTGAAGTCATTTTATGGTAGTGGGATCTCGACTTTTAATGTTTAATTGTTTTGAATAGATTGCAGATTATGTTTTGCTTGGTCGTGTGGGGTTGTGTTCATTGAACGCTGCCTTTCTTTTGTGTTCTTGTTTTCCGTATTAAAGTGAATTATATATTGTAGTTTTTATGTAGGAAAAGTTGTCGGTTACATTTCAAAAGCTTAATAAAATTTTAACTATCGATTTTTTGTGCTTTGTTACGAATGCGCTTTAGAGGCACTATCTAACGCTTAAGCTTATAAGTAAAAATTATGACAAAATTTAATAATTAAAATAAGTAAGTGAAAATTAGCGCAATATTTTTATCTTATTTTGATATTTTAAAGTAATCCTTATCACATATACAAGCCAAATCTCTGGCATTTACGACAACTCATTCTGGATTCGCCTGCATACTTATACCTAATCTACAAGTCCGGTTATCTCGCCGATTTCTTCTGCACGGATCTTGCAAGATGCCGTTGCCAGCACAGTGTAGACTGTAGACAGTGACTGTTATTAATTTATATCTTTAGGGGAGTAGAGACAGATACATTTTCTCTACTAACTGAATTGGGTCTTTTGATACAATATGAACAAAGGATATTGCCCTCTTACCATAACATTAGAAACGACCATTGCAAATGTTCTCTTGGAAAAGTTGAACTTTCCAAATATTCAACAGACAGTGTTTTAAGAATTTTTTTTCAGAGCATCTTGTGACAAGCATCAATTAGGGATTTCATTTGTTGTATGCAATGAAAATATGAATTGAACGATGAGACATGTAAATGCACATATTTTTATACATTTTTATATCCACTAAACAAGTTTACAACTGGTAAATTTTATACTACAAAAATAGTAAGTAATAATTAAGATAGACAGAAAAGAATAAATAATTTTGTAAACATGAGTTACTTCCCCTTAAAATAGAGAAAACCTGAAACCCAAAAGAACACCCTAAACAGCAAAATTATGAAATGTTGCAGGATCAGGTTTATTAAGCCATGCAAAGTAATTGTAAAGTATTCATAAAAAGTTAGATGGCCATGTGACAGCAGTAATTGCAGAAAATCGGATAGCTTTCAACATCCGGATACTGGTACACTTTGTAAAAACAAACATTCTATGCAATAGATAAACGTTATATGGATAAAATCAATAGGATAATCGTTTACAACAGTTCCAATACCAATATTTATACTCATTTTTACAGGTGAACGTTCTTCTTGTAGGAACATTTTGAAAATATATAAATGAATGAAAAAGAATACAGCATCAATGTAGACCACAACGATATTCGAAATTCGGGTTTTAGTATTGCCAATAAAGCTAAGGGACAAGCTGCAATTTCGTGAAAATAATATCACAATGCACATGCTTTTTACATAATGTTATTAAATACAAATATAACAACATATTAGTTTACTTGATTTTTACGAATCAAAATAAAACTAATTAACACAACATGACATTAACTGCTAATGATAACAGCTCCTTCCATAGGCCAAAATAAAAAGCATTTCATAAGAGACGACGCCGCTCACCGGCGTCGCCAATAAAATCATACATCTGAGTCTTGTACAAATTGAAGCATTACTCGTTTATAAACAGACTAGAGACCCTGGTCCGAATCCTGGAAAATTAAAATTTATAATTCTTTATGCCACTGCCATATTTTGCGATTCATGTTTGTGCGTGCATATGTTTTAGTGAACTTAAAAAAACCTTTTGTTAAAACCCACAAGTCCAATTTCAACGCAACTTGCCATGATTGTTCCTTGGGTGAAGGGTGTCTAAAATTTATCAAAGAATTTTATTCCTGATAAGTTACAGTAAAACATTGTTCAAGGGGAGATAATTCTGAAAATATTGCATTTAGAGTTATGAACCTTAACACATAAAATGTGGTTGATGATATGGAACGTATGTTTGAAGTTGATAACTCAAGAAAAAGTTATAGAAAAAAATATTTAACTGCACAAAATCTTTAATCTGAAATCTGGACGCGGACGCCTGGCTGAATTGGACAGCTGTCCACATGCTTTGAAAAGACGAGCTAAAAATTTAATACTAATAAAAGATTGAAAATAATCTTGCTGAATCAAGACATGTATCAATGGTTTAGTTGTATATACATGTAGAGGATATTGAATGAGTGTAAGTTCAATACTGAATTTAATGCACTCGTTGAATAAAATTATATTATGCGAGCCTCTGGCGAACATAATATTTTTTTATTCAACGAGTGCAATAAATTCATAATGAACTTACACGAATTTAATATTCTATTTATCACATACACAATATAAATACCGTTTTTAAAAATTGAAAATAAGAGTAATTTTCCTTTTGACGCACCTATAGTATAAACGCTGAACATTTAGCGCGTTCTTTACATTATATTTGTATAACGCTATAACGTACGTCTAACAAATAGATTTACGGAGTCTCAAAAATCGGCGTGAAAATACGATGCAATATTATATTTTAGATAAATTCCGTAAATATGTTAGCTAGTCGCTTTTACCCTTCGAATTTAGATTTCCAGTGTCTACAGACAAATGTTCAATTCGGTAGTTGTCGAACAAAAAAAAACACTTACAATACAAAAGAATTACTTCGTAAAATTAGATATTAAATAACACAAAAATACAAAAGTGTATTCTTATATATCTCAATTGTCAGTAAAGCAAACCTTTATAATGCAAATAAAGACTAAAGTGAAAATTATAGTATTTAAGAGGCTGTAAAGAAGTAATGTTAAGCAAAAAAATTGTGTCCATTTAATACTCAAGTTATTGAATATATCACAACTTTATTTTAAATTATCAAAAGACATTTATGCAATTATTCGTATATATATATGTATATGTTCAGTATGCTACTGTTCATGCGCATATGCTAGTCACATTCTTGATCGTAAAGGCATATCAATTCTTCATATAACTTTAAACCATCATTTGCATTACACGGGATCTGTAGATTTGGCTTAAGAAGGTATGCCAGTTCATGGAATTCTGCTCTCTCTTTTTGTTTGGGGGTAGCATACATTTCTTGGCAAAGATTTAGTTCAATATCGTCAACACTTTTCCCCATTTCGAATCCACCAAATAATTCTGGAACGTAAAATAATATATCTGGCTTACCAGAAGGAAGTTCGTTTACACTTTTCTGAGGTCGGATATTGTGTAAATTCCAGTGTTTTGCAATACGGTCTAGTTCTGCTTGCAGAACATCCATAAGGCAAAAACAGACACACTCTATATGTATCGGATTAAGTGCATTAAATTCGCCAGTATCTCGCAAATCTTTCAGTTTATTTATCCACCAGTGTATTCCTTGACGTCGCAGGTAGCTCCACCAGGCTTCGATTCGTTGGTTCGAGGTACTTCTCCCAAACATAAAGCTCTTGGTTCCAAACATTGAATCATTGTGGTTTCGTCGAAGTAAGGGTTGTAGAAAACTGATGTGTGTGTTTTCAGTGCCACAGTCAGCTCTTACAATACGAGGGACAAGTTTTAAAGTCTTAATCGATTCAATATAATAATCAGCGATGCATTTTGGATCGTTATTACTTGCCCCAACTTCTAACCAGGTAATTCTACGACTATACCCGTCTATTGCTGCATGAATACACAAACCAAATTGTTTAAGTTTGTCGTATCCGTCAACGTGCCAAATATAATTTGGGCCTTGTGCACAATATTTCCTTCTAATTAGCCTGTGGGCCTTTCTCAAGCGTACCCCTTCAGGATCTATTTCTCTCATTAACCGCATTACATCATGCCTCTTAACTTTTAATTTATAGTCGTACATTAAACGACGCCACATACTTCTATAGTCGATACAATTCCACTATACTGAAGTTCTTTCTCTATCAATTCTTTAATAACGTCATCTTTTGCGGTAAGAACATCTCCTCGGCGGCATAAATTATTCGCCTTCAGTATTTGCTTCAAGTGCCGTATGCTGATTTTAATATTGTGTTGAGAAAATAAAAGAAGAACGATTTCAAAGTACTTAAAAACCATCCCTGAAATATTCTTTCACCAAGTTTAGTCTAGACTGTTTATTTTGATTCACTGGTGGTGTTTTATGAGGTACAACAGCTCCTGCATGGCTTATCAGAATTGTTGAGAACAGTACAACCCTTGCACTCCAAAGCATTTCCATCTGACCTGCAATTTACAAAAAAAGATTGATAAACATAACTACATTAATTATGCTTTTTATTGATATTTTCCCTTTCCATTGTGTAACATGCATAAGTAGCACAAAGGGATCGATACTTGCGCCGAGTTTTGAGTTTTATTTTTACCTTTATTCAGCTGATGTTATAAATTCATTATTTAGAACCAGCTGACGTTATTTCTGGCATGCATGAAGGCGCCAGAATGACATCATATAGAAGTTGTATGAGTTGGTGATAAAATTGGGATAAAATTGATTTATCTATCTCCGATGTAAAAAATACTTAAATAACACAGAAACGTGCGATACTTGAAATAAAAATGCATTCTTCATTATTTTTTGTTTGTTAATTACCATAGTGTCAGGAGGATGTTGAATAGAACAGCCAAATGTGAAAATTGGCAGCGGAAATAAAAATATCCGCTTGAAAAAAAAGCCTCAATAATCTCCATTACTTTGCTCTTTGTGGTCAAGTTAGAAACAAAATAACATCGATCTGAGCGGTCTTTATCGGCTATTAAACACCTATTTGTCGTTTTGATGCAAAATGTTACCACTCAGGAAAACGGCCTTCCTGGTTAATTTGGTGTTTAATAACCGATAAACACCGCTCAGACCGATGTTATTTCTCAAGTATATACAATGTAAGACCAAAAGTTCTATAGTACCAGCAGTGATCTTACTGCTCTATATATGGTAACATGTAACAATTAAGATACACCAGCACATATAGGATTTGATTTAAAAAAAAAACAACATTACATACCCTCTGTTACTGGTTTTTGTCTTGTGCTGCGTAACAATGTAACTTTTCACAGAAGTGAACTTTTTGACATCTATTTTGCACCATGTGTTCATTATTTCCCGCCACTGGCAGATAATAAGTTATAGATAATAGGTAATAAGTAATAAGTAATAAATTATAAATAACGGGGTATATGTGCTAAATAATGATTATTGGTTTTAAGTAATAAGTAATAATTATTAAATAATAAATGTCCCTCCAGGGCTTCCGTACTTTTGATTACTAAAAATGCTGCTGCTTATGTGAACTTTTCTAATGACTTATCTTCAAAACATATTGCAAAAACAAAAACATGAAAATAGGTAGATTGAATTATCAATAATTATTCTGTATAGTTTACGAGTAATCACAACACGCTTGTTGTCAATCATTCTTAATCAAACTGGTTTTGATGTATAATTCAAAACGACAAACGAATGGAAATGATAAAAGGAGTTTTTAATTCCACATTGACACTCATACTTACATTTGTATATGTTCATATGTTGATTTTGTTAGAAGGATATATTACTTTATGAAACTAATTGAAACAGTTCTTTAACAATTTGCTAATAAGAAGCATGTTCGTACTTGAAATCAGAAATCAGAAGAAATTCAATACTTTACATCGTATTCTAATTGTTTTAAACATTATTCTGTACATACTTGATTAAAATCTTGCGACAAATCTGTTAAAGTGGACAGACAGATTTGCTTCTTTTTATTTATCAAGATATCTATTTACACATGTGATGATTTGTGGCATGACAATTGCACACTTATTTGTGACGTTAGGAAACTCTGAAGGTTGTTTATAGCAAACTTCATACAGTAAGCAAATGCAACGAAATAAATAAATGAATAAAAATATAAGTATCCGAGTATTGGAAAAATCTGATCACGATCGTTTAGAAGAAAGAAGAATGCATATTGATTACATATTACATACTGTGATCAAACGGAACAAGTTAACTTATTTCATCAAAAAGTAATTGTACTGAAAGACACATTGTCCGAGCGATCTGTGGCTGAGAAAAATACTTTGTATTATAAGATTTTAAAAGAAACTTTTCATTTACACTAATCATTAAATGAATTTTAAAATAATAGTTTGTTGTAATTTTAAAAGAATAAGGAAATAAAGAATTATCTACTCGAGAAGAAAAGTATGTGCAAACAATTAAATGAACAAAGATGTTCTTATGAGGTAGATTTTATAGATTTGTAAATAATACTGCATTTGGTTATGCACATAATGTATACTTTATTATCAAATCATAAAAAATCCGTTCCTACAGTATCTTTAAACACTTAGAATAAGGAACATAAATATTCAATTGAGTCTTTTAACGTGGTGCCGTTTAGTGAACAATCACGAATGATTGTAATCATACCATGTCCATATATAGCAAGTAAATTTCTTGCAAGCAGACACACTTAACTATGATATGATTCGAAAAAATCAAAAGGTTGATCAAAATAAAAATAGTTATCAAAATCATTCGGTAACAAATTTAAGATACTCATCTTAATACACAAAAAAATGCCAAGAACAAGTTTAAGCGCCGCATTACAGAGCATTGAAAACAAAATTCTATTTGGACATTTTTCTTTTTTGAAAGTGTGTCTTTTAGTAACAGGATATAAAGAGATCTTAAGCTAAAATCTTTCATCATGTTCCCACAGCAACAAAAGTCTAGAAAATGGAAGAAAGCATTTGATATTTACTTCAATTGATACTGATCATAACACAGCTGTTGATAGAAAGGTCACTGAAATAATGAGAACAAGTATTGAGAATGCCAGACAAGAACTTTCATCAATCAATTATGATAAATTGCATTAATGGTCTGTCAATTTGATTTGACAATGTGAAATAATGTGAAACACAGATGAATAATTAAATAACAGTAAATTATACCTTATTGTTTCTTCCAAACATTGTTGAATGATTTAATAGTTTTGGTATTGGAAAGGTATTGGAATTATATGAAAGCGTAAAATAGAGAACGAAAAAACATTAAGAACTTTTTTTCACTTTTTCATAGTCCCTCACTCCTTTTAAAATACATACTTGTTTTGTTTAGCATATATTAATATCTTTGTGAGCAAGTTGGAATTCGTTTTAATTTTTGTAATAAATCAGAAACAGTGTATTTGTTTGCTTGGTTTTATGGCGCACCAACAAAGTTTAGGTCATGTGGCACTGAAACAGAAAAGATGATTTGGTGTTACTTTCTTCAAAGCAGGGGTCAAATCCATCCCATCTGCTGGAGCTTAGAGATGCAAAGACTATAGTTATTCCAACTCATTTAGTCACCTTTACCGATCACGCAGAGATACACGGTGGCTGCAATTCTGATCCATTTAAGGCAACCCCTCATACACAAGAAGATAATCATAAATACATGAAATACATCAGCAGCTAAATTTTAACATTTTGAACAGTTTTATTGGGATAAGAGACCAATTATTTTAAGCAATGGTTCAAAGAAACACTTTTTATGAATATTGTTACTAAAAATATATTTAATATAAAGCAGTTTTCAAACATTACTCTTGATATTTCAGCTTTTTCATTTTTTTTTAATTTCTCAGATGTGCAATTAACAACCAGATATACAACAGGATGTGTTTTGTAAAGCTTTAAATTAAATTAAATTTCATTACATTATATGACAAATTACTCTTTTAGTGTTTTATTTGGTTTTAAGCAACACCGACACTCTAAAGTTCACATGGCGACTTTGCTGCTTTACTGACGGGTGACCTTTTTTTAAGCACAATCGGGCACCTGAGCCGAATTTTTATTGGTTATTACTGATCCTAAAAGTCAAAGATATTGACCGCCGGGATACGACAAAATTCTTTGCAATATGTATAAAAAAAATCAACAACAAATAAATGATGTATTAGCTTCATGACCGATATGTTCCTATTTGGAAACATTAAAAAATCTTCAGAATATACGTTTGTTGAAATAGAAATGATATCATTTTAGGGTTTGACGAGTCTTTTTACTGGCATCTTACATCTATACATGTTCATATTTGTTTCTCTATTCAAGCAGTGCATCAATATTTGACGGAACCTCTTTTAACTGTTTTTTGGTCTAACTGGTTTAGCTAAAGTTATCCAAGTTATACAATTTATAAATATTCTCAAGTAATATAATTTCGCGTAAATTTTACCAGAAAAGTTAACAGCATAGCATTTTATCTACAGTTTGTCACTTGCGTATTTGTCTTTTCGTAAACTGTAATTCTTTAAAACACTTTCCTTAACTGGATAACAAGAATCATTCCGCGCTTATTTTGTTTAATTATAAGCAACATTTGAAACAATCTCGACTTAGAATGACATATACAAAAATGAATAATTTGTGATTATTTACCAAATGTCCCCTGATGAAAAAGATTTACAAGCAGAAAAATAATTGCTTTAATTTGTTTTCATTTTACAATATAAATCCAGTTTTACCCCTGTACTATATTCACAAATTTTGTCTTTTACACACCAACTTAATCGAAAAGTTAAATTTTTGTGTGTATTTTATGTTGTACAAACACCGTAAAGAGCATTATGGCGACTTTCCATCTTAACTAGCGGAGGAAGACAGCTGACCCTCAGTGCATTATTTTAGAGACGAATACACACCTTAGTAGAACCATCGACGTTCTATGAGCTAGTTATATAGTTTTCTCCCTTGATAGGACTCGAAATCATGCGTTAAGGGAAAAGTTGTTTGACGTTATCCACTCGGCCAGGGACGTCCCTGAAAAAGTTTGAAAATTCTTGTTTACATGTTTATGCACTTATTTATGGTAACTCATATTTTAAATGTAATTGAATTGAAAATAAGTTCTAACTTATTTTTTATTTGCTTCGATACTTTTAAATTTCCATAATGCAGATATTTTAAAGAGTAAGCGATATGTCTAGACACAGTGTCTATTATATCTCAAATAAATGAGTAAGCAAGTCATAAATATTTAAATCTACGCTCTCATTTTGAAAGCTTTAGCCTATTCAGCAGTATCAGTTACTTCAACGATCCACAGGTGACCGACTTGATAAACCGAATTTTCCATTAAATTACTCTTTGGAAAACAAGAAGTAATTGCTATACGGCAGTATGTACCTTATAAATGATTTAGTAATATGGTCTACAAAGCCATGGAATAGCACCAGTGCAGAGATTTGCCATACTTTATACACATTCGCAAAAGGTTTTGGCTTAATCTCTTATAAAAAAAACTTGTAAATAAAAAATACCCTTTCGAAGTTTAGAACAAATTTGAAATCGGAAATACTGTAAAGGCTTATATCCTTTATATAGTTTTGACGCATATATGAAGAAATTAATATACATTCTTATATTCTTTAATCAGATATAAACAAAATAAGGAGTCTAAAAAATGCGTTACATACCTAATAAACCTTTCGAAAAATCAGTAGTTAAGATACATTTTATGCTTCAAGAAAGAAAATTAGTGTCCTAGGGTAATACATTTTTAGAAAAACATTTAATTTTGCTTAGAGACAAAATAGCAGGACTGAGTTATTTTGGCTAGCTGTTCAGCCAAAATTAATGTGCAGTTTAACATGTAAGTGACTTTTCATTATAGATACATTCAGCATTAGATACATTCAGATGGCGTATACATTGCAACAAGATGTACTCAGTTCAGAAAGTATAAGTATGTAAGTGTAATTTATGTATGTTCTAATGATTGAACTGATGCCATTTTTAAAGGACATGATTTCTTGATCATTCTTAAAATGAAAAAAAAACACATCCGAACGGAAGATGTAATCAGAAAGGTCTGGAAACCATCGGTTAGTTGCTGAAGTAAAAAGTAAAATTTCAAAATACCTAAATTATTTACAATATGCAACGAATAATTATTCCCCATTTAATATTTATTACACAGCGTTGTGGGTCTGAAAATATTTGTTTTAAACATGTGCATTAGAAGACAGAATTTATGTATGCAAAGTGTCACAATCCTTTTTCTATTAATCCAATCAATTGTTTGAGACATTTCACGGAAATTTAATCATCTGGAGAAAATAACGCTTTATAGAATTCGCATGAATACATTTATAGAGGAAAAACGTCGATTTTATCGCGGATTTATGAAATCCTATTTGTCCTGAGAAATAAAAATGTGGAATCAGTACTTTTAAATTCTAGTTTAGATATTACCCTCACTCTCTTGTCCTA